CGCGTTAAACCGACTAATATTGTTTATAAGAAAAATCACATTACGAATTGCCATAAATTGTTTAGGTACTTGGAAACCAGAAGAAGTATAAGAAAATGCAACTAACATATATTTTGTAAATAATTTTCCTTTGCACATTTTTTCTAAGCTTTAGCACGTTCTAAATCCTTGTTAATTCATTGCTTAGTTCGTTTAACAATATAATTTTTCAATTACTATCTAAATCGAATTAAACATTTATTTATCTATGTAAATATTAATGAATTAATTTATGTGTTTTCTTGTGAAATGATAACATACGAGTTTTTATTCCTATAAATTCATTTGATTCAACGGATCGTGTGTGCACGCTCTACAAAGTTACTAATATAGGTACTCTTAGTACCATCAACGTACTACTCTTTGTTTTTGATGGCCTATTTATTGAGGAAAATTATATCTAACACTAGCATTGCCCGCGACTCCGCCCGCGTTCAGATAACCAAAAACCAAATTCTTAGGTTTACATATTCGTATACTCTTACATTGCAGTTTTTGTATTTTTTCTCAGAAATGAGACATTTTCACGCGGTAAAAAGTCCTATATGTTGACCCGGATAACCAGCTATCACCTTACCAAATTTCATCAAAATCCCTCCAGTGGTTTTTCTGTGATGCGGTAATAGACAGACAAAAAATCTAAAAATTATAGATTCGGCCCCTGTATCGATAATAATGTCTATTGCAATAATATTTTCCAAAAAATATTTAATGTTCAGAGTCGGCTTAGTTACAATTTTATTATATGTATAGATTACGTTATGAACCAACCGTAGCAATTATTACACACACATAAACTGGGCGAGCGGAGCTGCGGCAAAAGATTATTTCAAATATTAAAGATATATAACCAAATGCCAACCAAAAAAAGAAATATATGTATAAGATTAAATAACCGAAAGCGTTTATTACGGTTCAAATTATTCCCAGTAAGTATTTTACTACATTGGAAGCTTGTTGCTGAATTAATCTGTAAAGATTTCACTTCTCCCAGCTTCATTCCTTCATTTTATAACATCATAAAAGTGATGATTGAGAGTCGAAACGTTATAGCTTTAATTTAAAATTTCTAGACGCGTGTATTATGGGCTGCCTCGGGTGCTATAATATTCGCAAGGTACACGTACTACACTAGTGTCTTCGAAGCGAGGGGCGCAGCTCATATGCACCTGCGGATATTGCCACGTAAATCAAATTTCTTCTCAACGCTATACCTTTGATATTTATCGTGAACTGTAGCGACAATTTATTGGCTGTAATTATTTAAGAAATTTTTTGACATATAAAATTACTACATATGTAGTTTTTATATGGAAATTATTGTAATTTATTCAAAGTATACAAATACATAGTATGTATACACGATTATATTGGCAACTATATAATTAGCCCTAACAAGGGTATGTTAAGTACACGCTGCACCGATGGCATGAATAACAGGCAGTAACGGCCATCTATATGCCAATAGGATTAATATTTAATGCTGCTATTCTGTGCGGAATTACTCTGACGCTGCGGTTGAGCTTCCCCTGAATTACTGCCTACTGACGTTAGCTGCTATTGGTGTCACACGTTTTGTCATTTGTAAAAGTAGAAATATTACGCGCAATAAACTGTAATTCAACGCGTCCATGAGGAGAATTTATTATAATATATGTAGTTGTTATCATATGCAACCGCGTCATATATTAAGTATGTACGTATGATTAAAATGAAATTATTGTATTAATATGGATATTAAATATTTTAATAGCTTATATCTGACAAAATTTTACTTGACTTATTGTGTGTAATAATTAAAATATAAGTTTATTTCTAGGCATTAAGTAATCCCCCCCTAACGTGCGTTCACCTTGTCGTGGTGGGGGGGCTCAGTAGTGCCCGGCAATCCAGCCGGGCGCGAAGCCAAGAAACGCACAGGGAGGTGACCCACTTCGGTGGGCGGTGGGAGGTGGCCCTCTTCGGAGGGCGGTGTGCCATGCGGGTTGCTCCTGGTACTTCTCTGATAGCAGAGTGGACCTTGGAACAACCCCATGGTTGTTGTGGTCTGCTTCGGCAGACCTGCCGTCGGGGCGTCGTAGTTGAATGCGTAAACGATCCTGCGACGCCCTATTAAGACGGGGTTTAAAAAAAAAAGGCATTAAGTAATGAATCTATACATACTTATAATAAAACACTAACTTAGCGAAATCTGTACATGATTTTTTTTGAAAACAATACCTGTAACGTATTGTGTAGAGAATATAGACCCTAAAATAATACTTATTAAAAAGTTGTCTGTTTTGGTGTTCACATTTCACGCAAAAAGTACTGAATCGGTTTTAAGAAGAATTGATTTTCTTTACGCATATTTCTTTCATGTACTCTAAATAAAGTAAACTTTACGATTTAACATTGGAAAGGAAGTATAAATGAAAAAAAGTGTGTGTGTGTGTGTGTTTGTGTACTTATGTACGCACGTACGAAGTTATACTTCTATGACGTAACAGAACAAAAATAGCTAAAGATTTCATCCCGTATGTCACAACTCTCTGTTTGTAAAAGGAATGCAACTAACTTCATCATGTCGCTTTTTGGCTGTCGGTGTGAGCGCGCATCGCATAATTACTCATAAAATCTTATAACTTCAAAAAATTGCATTAATAATTAATTAAAATGGTATGACAATGTTACATCTTTATATCCATACTGCCATACTAATATTATAAATGTGAAAGTGTGTTTGTTTGTCCTTCTATCACAACGAAACAGAGTGAAGGATTGGTGTGATTTCTTGTGTGGAGATAGTTGGAGAGTGAGATACTTTTTACTGCGGGAGAACATCTCACTCCCACAGGAAAACAAGTTATAATACAACTCAAAAAATATGATCCGAATTACTTGAAACTTGGAATTAATGCCCTTCAATACAATTAAATAAATACCTACGTGTTTAAGAATTTTTCGAAATTCATCCCATAGAAAGTAAAATAGGGGGAGAAAGTTTGTATAAAACCTACCTTTTTAGATATTTTGTTTGTAGTTTTAGCACGAGCGAAGCCGCAGAATCTGCTAATAAAATTAATTCACTAACTACTAATATCACTGTTTAACTAACTAAATACTAATACCACAGTTTAATTTTAAGGGCTTCAATTTTGTATATTATATTTAGTGCATGTTTAAACCCTCTAAGGTAAATAATTAATTTTCAATTGGATTTCTCTTTAAATTGTCGTGAAACTACTATACCTAATTAATAATGATCAATGCTTGTGTATTTGTTCGTCTCCATTTTATTCTTAGTTAATTATAACTCGTTGCGTTTGTAAATATACATATATTAAGTTATACATCGATAGAGATTAGATGCTCCTATTTTATTAGTATCGCTATATTTCTAATGGTTAAATATGTAATATATGTTACATTGAATAGTATATTTTAAATCTATATGTAATTTTGGACAGTTAAATCTAATCGTATGGATCATTTTTGCAACACTTTTTCCTTCTCGTAGCTTTGGCGAATTACTAAGAAACGTTCGTAAAAAAGTATCTGAATCTAAGTGTGCTGAGCAAAAACACAATAAATCCATTTAAATAGTACTGTAGAAGGAAAATCACTCATCTTACGGTATCTTGCAAATTAATTGTGGAATGACAGAGCACAACGCTCGTCTCTTTTAATGCACGCTCACAAAGCGAAACGGCTTGGGCGGCACCGTAGTGGCACGTAGCGGTGGTGATTATGATAATGACGCGGTGGCCGCGCTTTTTGCGCCTTCCTCCAACACTACGAAACTCGACACCATTTTAGATTTTGCTTGGTCCTGTGCAACGAGAGACGCATCGTATCGCAGCTTGGCTTTCCGCTCGCCTTATACCGCTTGCTTTAACTACTATGAGACGCTTATAAATTATGCAAGTCTCCATAATCCACGCCCTAAATGCCTTCTCCGCCGCTTCAATTATTCATGTGAGCGGTTTTATGTTTTAGAAAATTGTCCCAATGCTCGAACAGACCAATATATCATACCATATTCATAGATATAATTCACACTGTGTAGCTGATATGCAGATCTAGACTAGAGTTTCAAAACTAAAATCGCACCTTGAAAACATAAATAAAACACCTTCACAGAATGTATAAAGTTAATTTATTTTATCTACACTAATCCATACTAATATTATAAAGAAGAAAGTTTGTGGGTTTGTGACGTTGTAATCTCTGGATCTACTGGACCGATTTAGATGAAATTTGGTAACAAGATAGTTTGAGACCCTGGGAAGGACATAGGATACTTTTTATCCCGGAAATCATACTTTAAGGGGGTGAAAATGGGGATGAAAGTTTGTATTGGCAAGCAAGCTAGGGACACGACCCAGAGCGAAGCGAGGGTGAGTCGCTAGTAATATTATAAAGGGGAAAGTATTGTATTTTTGTAGGTTTCGTTATAAACCCAAGAACTACTGGACGGATTTTGATAAAATTTGGTAAGAAGATAGTTTGAGACCCTAGGAAGGACATCGGATTTTTTATTTCCGAAATCATTACTTAAGGGGGTGAAAATGGGGGTGAATGTTGGTATGGGGAAACTACCTAGGGACGAACCCGAGCGAAGCGACGGTGAGATATAAGAGTATAAAAGCAAATTAAAGGAAAATATATATTTAGATTTGACCTAATTATATGTTGGTTAAACTATTTTTTGTTTTAAAAATTGCCTTGATAAGTTATAATAGTCGTAAGTCGGGAGTGTTATCTATTTATACCTTAGGTAATTTTGTATGCATAAATACTGAAACAATAATAGAAAAATTATTTGATTAAACCTTTTTACCCTGGTTGCTCTAAAATGTTTTATAATTTTTAGTTTAAATAATATCAATGTTGATTCGTTTTCAATTTTAGTGATTCATGCGTTACACTCGTTTCTTACAATTAGAAATTTATTATTCTTTTCTTTCTTTCCCTTTTAGGATTCTGATGGTGACACCCCGTTGCATGATGCTATTTCTAAGAAGCGTGATGATATATTGACTTTGCTGTTGGATCACGGAGCTGATATGACGCTTACAAACAACAACGGATTTAACGCCCTACACCAGGCTGCGCTACGAGGCAATCCAAGGTAACCCTTTATTTTTTTTTACTTAGACACATATATGATTAAGATAAAAACCCAGAGCGTTTGCCTCTGTGAGGCAGCTCCAAAAGATAAGTAGTATTTTTTCTATTTAGTTCTAATATTGCTAATTTAACCACCTATTTATTTTAGTTAACAGTTACTCAACATAAGTCATTTACCATCCTTCACAAGTAGTATTGTTTTGTAATGATAAAGTAATAAGTAACGTTCTAGTAAAATGGAAAAGTAATATAAAACTCCGTCACCAAAGACATTATAAGGACCCACGTACCTCCGTAAGAACTTTATTTGTGGACTTTGAAATAAACATAACGTCGCTTGTTGTCCGTCATTATCCCTACGAAAATGGGTAGTTATGAGCGAGCCTGCCGCGCAATAAACTGCTACGCGCCATGCCGCAGCCGACAAGCGTTTCATGTGACATCTTCATTACCTCTAAGCACATACAAATGTACACATTATCCTTAAAAATATTATATAACCCCAACTTTAGTATCACAAAATCATAATTGATAAAATCTAAAACTCTCTTATCGCAGAATAAACTCAAATGTAAATGAAATGGATAGCTTAAAATCAGGCCACGATGCATTCAGAGTAATTTATATCGTAATCTGTTATTTTTTACACTTTGGGGCTATGTAGTTTAGGTTTTTAACATTTTTAACATTGCGCATACCACCCACATATGTACATACAGATGCATACATATGAAGACTTACTGGTACTGGCGAGAGAAGCCAGTACTACCTAGTAAAAGACAACGGAACGTTCACCTCTTCTTCTTAATAGGGCATCGCAGGATCACTACTGAGCTCCCCAACCACGCCAAGGTGAACATAGATTGGGGGTAAATTTTTGTACTCTGCAAAATTCCCCGGTTTTGCAGCGTACCTAAATTTAATTCTACGAAAATAAAAACTGCACATAAGCATTGACATGTTATCATATTTACTTAATAAACTCGATATTTCGAAAATAATTTAAATTTATTAAGAAGTTAGGATGTACAATTTATTTTGGTTTAAGTGGAGAGTACGGGATCATTGGACGATTGGATATTGGACCTATAAATTTCATATAATATGAATTATTTTTAAAACTTATAATTTATTATTAAAACTATAAAATAATAATCTTTAAAATATGTACAAAATACTTAAATCTATTCAAAAAGCAAAACACAACTCTTTCAAATAGATATTTTCATACATATGTAACTAAGAACCATCACGATCAAACAAGGTTTCAAGTATAAAACCGCATCTATTATCACTATTCATTGCAATATTACTATGATTAGCACTCTTTTGATCACTGTCTTCTGGTTGTTTGTAATCAATGCCCCCCCTTTTATTCTTTGTCCAATATCTTTCGGGATATATCTTTTGTACTTGAATTAAATTAACAAGTAAATAGTAGTAATTAATAAGTAATTAGTAGTAATATTAAGATATACTATACTGATCGATCAAAAAAGTCCTAGATACATAATCAGCGACAAAAAATGTCCTAACCGAATGAGCGCTCATTTGAACCTTTTGAGGGCGATTTTAATTTAAATTTATTTTTATTAAAACAACTTTAAGCATTGCATTTAAGGTTCAATTTACATTGTGGAATATTTATTTCAACTACAATTATTAGCTAAACACGATTGGTGACAGTTTTAAGAGAACTTTGGCATGGGATTGTGTATCTAGTACTTTTTTGATCGATGACTATACTACATTATTTATTAATGTAGAAATCGTTAATTTATTTAATTGAAGTACAAAATACTTGATATATATATATATCAAATATTGCAAACATTGTACTTGAACAAAAGTGGAATATTTAAGGGAAGTACACAACTAACTGAACTCACGCAAATTAATTTACGGCTAATTTGGAAATAATCATGTTTTAAAACTGTACATAGTTCCGATGTATGTAAATGGAGTTTTACTCGTATAACAATTTTAAAATCGCCAATTTAATATTTAAAACCATTATTCTATCTCTTGTTATTTTTTTTCTATAGATCAAACTATTATAAATGTGAAAGCTTGCAAGGGTGTGTATGTATGTATGTTATTCTTTCTTGCTGAAACGGCTGGACGGATTTGGATGAGGTATAGTACATAGATAGATGTAATCTATCTATATACCTTATGTACATAGGCTACTGCTATCTATCTAGGGATAAACTGAGCGAGGCAACGATATTTCGCTAGTAATAATACAAAATTGCATGTGTAAAAACAAAGTTCCATGTGTAATTTTTGAGATAACATATTTATCCCGGAATAAATTTAATCCTAACTATTGAGTTGGCTTTTAAATAATAATCATGCTAACTTTTACTAATAGGAAAGTTTTTAAGTAGTTACAAAATGTTAATTAATTCCTTCCAATAAATCCAATAGTAAATTAACATTTAAAATTAATTAAGGCAAATATTGAGATAGAGACAGTTAAACATGAAAACAGCTTTAGACCTCGTGTGGGTTTTGATATCGTTATTTTGAAACCACACAAAGATAGCTCAATTTTAGATTAAGCATAAATTTTTACAATAATTCATTAATTAAACATGAACTGTCACATTTGTTTAAAACAAAAGGAAAATTAAACGTATTTTATGAATCAGTGAGCAAAAGTTACTGAGAATAATGAATCTCCGTTGGAGAGTCGTGCGTAAAGCGGTTTATTTGTAGAGGGTCCAGCAGGCCTGGATCAGCGGTGGCCAGGGAAATTATTCAGGTCACGTGATGAGTCCTAGGGAAATAATGCGAAATGCGACTACGTGACCAGTTCATTATATGACGTAGAGGCCTCTCGACCACTATAGCATCTTCGATTTTTATGTGGGCTTTTCAGATTTCCAATTATTCGACCGCTGTTAGTTATATTTATGTCAGACAGAGAAAATGTTCATGAACAACCTTTGTAAAAAGGTCCAATGTATATTTTATTTTTATATCTATACGTATTACGTTATATCGACATGTTGATCAGCTATAAAAGTCACGAATTAAGGGGACTACGGAGCGAAGTTCGTACCTTAATCTCTTTTTGAACAAAAGCGAGCACTAAGACTTAGATCGCTAAAAAGTTTTTTTAAGATTGTTGTTTAATGGTAATCGAATAGAAGATTGTCGTAAAACGTTCCCGATTTTATCGCGAAATGAGAAGTCGCGAGCGACTTTTCCCATTCGACAAAAACGTTCGTTTCCCCTAGAGATGTAAAATCGTTTTATTTTATTACTTCCGCCAGTATATCGTTATATCAGAAGTATCCATCCTCTTCGGTTCGTGGAATTCTTAATAAAAATCAGAACGAAATTTAATTCAGCAACTTTGAATATTTATTACCGAGAAGGTTGAGTTAAAACTTTTTTAGTTTCTCCATTTCACTTTATTAGTTAAGGAAATTATTCTTTTCGGGTTTGATATCATGTCTTTAGATTTTTTTCGGAAGGTAACTTAAAACTTGGTAACTTACAATTAAGTTGTTAGACTATAAATTTCTGATCAATTTAATTATTACGATCGCATGAAATGGAATCGAAATTCATGTGTAACATCGAGGCATGCGAAGCGAGCGAGGCGCTGCGTCATTATGTCTGATTAGAAACAGTTATCTTGTGCGGTTATCGTTACAGCCGCCCTAACGAGGCCTTGTAAAACTTCTACTGTAATTTCGTCATATATAATGGGGTTTGATAAGCTTCCGGTTGATCATTTGTGAGAATTATATATTCATTCCTAACTGTAGTAAAATGGCATTGTTAGGTTGTGATGAATATCCTAAATAACAACGTTGTCGTATATAATAGATTAATTAAATTATGATTTGAGATGAAGAATGTATGAAATATATATTAATTTGAAAATAGCTATAAGCTTACTTCGCATTATTGTATAATTCAGAAATATTCGCGGATTGTCTTGATTAATTCGTCGTAGAATCCGACGATCACGAGTGGCTCGAACAGCTGAGTCTAGTGCGGTTCGGTTCGATAAGACGAGTATTCGCGCCCGGCATTAATCGTGGACTTAAATATTTTAACGCGTCGTAACATTGATTTATTCGGAGCGTAATCTCAGCTCGCGGCTTGTTTGTTCTTCGGCTCTAGACGTATAGGTAAGATTAAGCAGCGCCAGTGTTCTAACAACCCACCCAAATAATTTACTTTGCCAATATCATCCTTTTGACTCTTTTATTTATTAGATCCGTTTTATCACAACGGTTAAATGTATACTTGTTCTATGTTCAATAAATACGTAAATAATTAGGTATGTGTACGTTTTATATGTATATAGAATAAGCACAGCGTTCAGATAAGATTTATATGGTCATTGTACCGCGTTAATTGCAGCGAATGGAGCAAAGTGCGATGGTATCGTACTATCCGAACGAGAATTGTAATCCCCACTGCTTCAGTGGAGGCAATATGATACGAGTTACGTGCATACGGCTACGATATATCTAGTGAGTTGTGTTTAAAATTCTGGTTATTATACCATGTATTTTAATTTCATAAAAATATCATATTATTGGAAGGTTTATTTTAAATGCTACGAATAGTTTTTACTTTTGATTCACACGAAGCAGTAATTTTGTGTTATGAGAATAAGTCAAAAAGATAAGGTCCACAAACAAGTGTCATTTATTTTATAAATTCTAATTTTTTTTCAACGCAAACTAAGTTATCTTTAAATTATATTGGCTAATATAAGTATGGTAGATTTATTATATTCGACCGACCACATCTCTTAGAAGAGCGGAGCTGAGTCAAACTGGAAAGGATGGCGCGGACGCGGTGGAACGGCGGTGGACGGGGACGAGCTAGGGTGGTCGCGGGCGGCTCTGTTATTGTGCGACGTTTGATTTACGCACGTACCGCTATCACCCCTTTGTTTGGTCGAATACTGAACACTGTACCAGTTCCTCTCTTTAATGTTCAATGCTTTTTCATCCTTTACTTTTACAAATGTGTGTTATTACGTACCGATTCAATATTTTATTTAACATAGAAAGAATAAATATTTTGTTAAATGATAAAGCCTCTGATCATTGATCGTGTAAAGCATCGTTGTTGTGTGGTGAGGCAGCTCGACGATTCGTCGTTACCCGCAATTAGCGGTACTACGTACGCGGATAATCCGCGCTCGCACGGCGCTGCCGCACCGCGCCACACCGCACCGCCGCCCGCCCTGGGCTCGCATACGAATGTAGTGCGGATTCAGCGAATAAATTCATTTGTACGCAAATTGTATCGGCGCTTGCAATTAAAACTTTGTTAGCGCATGAGCTAAGATAAATAACACTAATACATTCTGCTTATTGTGGGAAACTTGTCGCGTATAGAGAATATATTAATGTTGTTCCTAATTTGTTTGGGCAGTAGTGTTGGTATAACATTGTCGACCTCCCAACTTTCGAACGTTAACACCTTTAACCTACATAAAACATTTTAGACCCTTAATTAACAAAAAGCCCAAACCCTTTTAAAATAAAAATGTTGTCTTGAACATAATAATGGTATTAAGAACGAGAAAAATATTCCTGTTAGGCTTTGTTCTGCTGTATCAGTATGAGTAAAAATATTAGAAAGGTTTTATTTATTTAGCGAATGTCAATTTTACCATATAAAAATAACAGCAGCTAACGCCGTTATTGATTTGATCAATTTTTTTATTTTAAAGTCATGAATTGACTGACCACAACGGCGCTTCGATGGAGAATCTCCATTAATGCAATCTAATTCAGTTCGACTCTGCGGTTTCAGACGGAGTCTAAGTTAGAAATTGATTCCAATAGTTTATAGGATCGAGCGAATTCAACAATTTTGCCGAGGTCATGCGACGTTGCATTTGATAATCTTACCAATAACGCAACTACTTCTTTCATGTTCGATATTCAAATATTTTTTAAAGCTCCACGCTTTCCCTATAAAATGTGCCAGTACGGACCCTCCCCCTGGTGACCTACTCTTTTGGACAATGTCGAACGTGTTGTAAATGGAAGTTCCATATACTTAATTGGCTTTGTATGAATCACAGCAGATCGTTTTTTAAACGAATCGAACCCGCAGTCTTAACAACAGTTATCGCAGAAAATAAATGTTTAATTGATACGGTAAGTTGTGGTTACATTGGCCTGTTACTGCTGTATTTATTTTTATTCTTTTTTCACTCTCAATATATTTTTCCAAACAATGCTGCAAAGATATTGTGCATGTTTTCTTATTACTGACTATTGACAAAAGAAGCTAACATAGTAGGTAACTGTCCTAAGTCCCCATTTATCAATATAAAATTAATATAAAATAAAAAAAATATAATAGTATGAAATTAATGTAATTAAATAAATGAATGACAACAAGTACTTCTTGGTAAAAAGGCAACTGATAATATTTGCAATCAGTCTTGAGAAATTCTCGTAGTCTGCAGATGTCCGTATTCTTAAAGTGGATTAAATGGGGTCGTAAGTTATCATCAACAGCCATAAAATACAGGCAGTGTTGAGTTAGACTACGATTTACGAATCGAGAATATCGTATTTTACTAACTTTGGAAACAGGATATAAATTAAGGAGCACCTCTAAGTGCATTTCTGTAATCAAAAGTTTCAATTCGCCTATTCTGCACAGAATTTCCGTGTTTATTATTTAAATATTTATTGAATGTACATATATTTATTGTAGAAACTTTATTCTATAAATTAAAAAATAGCTACACTTATGTAGAAAAATATATACTCTAAGAATAAAAATTATAGAGATCAAATCTAGATTATAGATTCGTATGTACACCAAATCGCCAATTACAAAAAAATTGTCACCCTGTTTGGTAGATTGCATGTTCGTCAATCTCGAAAAATACTGGACAGATATTGTTGTACATATTGTATCATTTTTATTTTAGGAAATGTTTTTGTGGAATATTCTGATATTATAAAGAATTACCATGAACAAAAACATTGTTATTAATATATAAGATAATTAATTTTCATTTATTTATAAATAAAAAATAATAATTATATTAATAATTAATTTATATTTCAACTTGGAATATAAAAAATACTTAGATATACAAAAGTGTGTATATTCGTTTGTTATTGATTCACAAAACAATAGAGCAACAATTCGATAATATTTTCTGGATAGAGATCTCTATCTTGGGCGTAGAATCTCTCTGCATCCATACGGGCTAAGAAAAGAAATGTGATATTTTTATAACGACACATTAAATGTTCTTCGCACGTTATTAGTTCTTTTGCCGGATATACTTAAAGCCTGAGCACAGCTAAGGCCAACCACTAATTCCTAATGAACATCCCACTTTCTTACATGTAAAATAAACGAAACTTTAGTGAAAGCTGATGGGAATCCAATAACGGTTGGATTTCCACCTGCTTTTGCTAATGTTTCGTTTATTTTGGTTATAACATAGTCTTACAATCAAAAAGGAACAAAAATATAGAGAAATGTAATGTTAAATATTACTTAAATTTAAAGAATAAAAAATAATAAATAAATAAAAATAAATGTGTTGGGACATTAACACACAGCGCCATCTAGTTCCAAAGTAAGATACGCGGCTTGTGTTATGGATACCAGATAGTTGATACACTACACATATAGATTTTTTTTAAATACATACATATTATAAATATAAACACCCCAGACTAGGGTACAAACATTCGTGCTCATCACACAAATGAATGCGCCCAGCGGGACTCGAACCCGCGACCGCTGGCATTGCAAGTAAGGTCACTACAAACTGAGCCGAACGTGTCGTGAAATGTTTACTAATAGCGTTTTATGTTATTAATAAAATTCACTCTACATGAGGGCATCAAAGCTGTACACGATTCACATCAATAAAATTGGTATTGCATACATTCGAAACGAATATTTGCTGTATATATTCTATACACGTTGGTAAATGTTACATGCTTTTATACCATGTTCACGTCATTCTACATTTTGTAACACTGCTTATTTAAGATTTATTACCAACGAGTAAAATTACATTCTATGGCTGTCTTCAAAGGGAATAGTGGAATACTATCTAATTCGATCATTTTTTCCGAACAGAGTAGATTTTCTTTAGTAGATACTGAGGTTCATTAGTGTAAGTTCGGTTCATTGTGCGCGGATGCGGGTGTCGCTATGTACTCGTAGTTACGTGCACGCCCGCGCCGCGCAAACTAAGCGCGTAGCCGGTTTGTCTGAGCGTTCCGTTCCTTTGTGTGCTTTGCCATTGTTCCATTCGCTAATGTTGTTAGTGTACTTTTTCAGCGACTACGTTAATTTAATACCTCTCCTCTCCTTCCTTTTACGAAGAGATTCCGACTTCCGTTTTCCGCGAGCACCGCTCCCTTTACGTTTGAGACGTCCGCATTGGGATACTGCATTTAAATTAGATACTTAATCACTGGAGTTGGCCTCGCTTTCTTTATAGCCGTTGTTGTCTTCATTCATTAACAGCCTTAATATCCCTATACATAAATCCTTTTACTAATTGACCTTAGCTTTTTGTATTTTTTTTTATTAATTACGTCGTGCTAAAATACAGTATCGTGAATTATTCAATGTATTGTACATTTAACAGTAAACAATCTGGAGAAATTTGGAAACCATGATATAAATATCTCGTGTACATTATACCTACTGATATATGATAGCGACAGCGTTTCTTTCTGACAAATATAAATAGCATTCGTATGATCGCATCAAAGAACTACGTAGTGCTCTCTTAAAATAAAACCACCTTTTGATGTATTGAGACATCACAAATGGAATATAGTGGGTGTTGTCAAAGTATTTTCTATCAAAAAGAGTGGCTAAAAGTATGGGCCGAGGGGAATATATGGCCGCCGGTTGCGCCTAGACCGCTAACACCCACTCAAATTGTGTAAATATGAGCAGGGTAATAAACTCCCGACGAGTGCTATGCTCGGATTTGCCTGTTAGAATGTTGTACGTGCATCTCCCCATTTGCCCACACCGCCCTCCTTAGCCTTTCGTACATACCAAACTTCGTCGTAGTCTGCACTAGGCATCTTTCAAGATGTTAGTTATTTCTTTGAAGTATTTGAAGAATTTTAATGTACCAATTTTTTACGGCGGTTTCTCATTTCACATAGTAGTCTTATTACATCAAGTAATGCTCGATTTTTTTATTTGATGGTAAATCTATACTAATATTATAAATCTATACTAATATTATAAATGTAAAAGTTTGTGAGTATGGATGATTGTTACTCTTTCACGCCAGAATGGCTAAACGGATCTGGATGAAATTTGCCACAGAGATAAATCATAGTCTGAAATAACACATAGGCTACTTTTTATCCCGGAAAATGTACGGTTCCCGTGGGATAGGTTTGTACTTGTTTCCCTAGAGGAGAACGGGAGCGAAGTTAGGGTGAGCCGCACGTCTGTTTTATTTTATATAGATAAATTTCATAAATTTATAACCATATTAATTAACTTATTTTAAAATAATAAACGAAGCAATGCAAAGGAATTTGGGATTGGATGGGGGAAGATTCTAAAGCTTTACAATGTTTGTATGTGTCGTAGCCTTTAGTAACCGAGATAATGAAACAAGGAAAGTCCCCTCTACTTGTTAGCTGTTAAATTTAGCACCAGATGTCCTAGTATAAAACTTGAACTAAATTTGAAACATTTTCTTAATATAGTATAACTTTGTCAACTTAGTATTCAGAATATTATATATACTAATATTATAAACTAGCGACTCACCCTCGCTTCGCTCTGGTTCGTTCCTAGCTTGCTTCCCAATACAAACTTTCATCCCCATTTTCACTGCCTTAATGGATGATTTCCAGGAGTAAGTTTTCTTAAATTTTCTAAGTTTCTGCGCAATTTTCTTAAATTTTTTAAATGAAAGAACCCTCTACGAAGTTGGAGTGCTGAAGAGTGACATAGACATTACTGTGGGAGATTATCTCACTAACACGTGATTATGTGTTTTACGTTATAATACAACCCAAAAAAATATTTATGAGCAAAATTACTTATAACTTGTTATTAATGCTGTTCAATACAATTAAATAAATACGTGTTTTAGCATTTTTCGAAGTTCATCCCATAAGGGGGTAAAATAGGTGATGAAAGTTTGTATGAAACCTATCTTTTTAGAGATTTTTTTTGTAGTTTTAGCGCGAGCGAAGCTGCAGATTCTGCTAGTTTATATTCAGTTATTTTTAACGTCCCACTGCTGGGCACGGGCCTCCCTTCAGTACGAGGGGAATCAGGCCATAGTCC